AGCCAGTGTCAAGAGTCACCGCCATAGGGTGGGAAGAGAAGTCACCACTGTTTAAAGAAAAGTCCCAGATATGCGGGGTGGGGTGGGGGCAGGCACCAGCTGAGGACTCAGAGGAGGACTGGTCAGAGGGAAGATGATAGACAAACTGCAGAAGCCAAAGGAGGAGAGATGCTCAGAGGAGAACCAAAGGGGTAGCTATAGAGCCAGGCTTCACTGGGACGAGCAGGGAGGAAGTGGTTGGTTCGCTGAGCTCAGCACCTTCCCAGGTGTGTGGAGGCTGAGTTAGTTGACGCAGGAGTAGAAAGTGAAAAGGGTGAGGCAGGTGTCCCGAGGCTATGAAGGAAAAATCCTTCCACCCCCTGCCTCAACTGCAACCCGGAAAGTTGTTGGAAGACAGCAGGAAATTCCTGCAGTGCCTTTTGGGCACCTTGGCGGGCTCCACAGCAGTTTCGAACATGCATCACCTGCACTTTGGGGCGTCCCTGTGTCCCACTTGACTGGGTACGATCCTCCAGTGTCTGTCGCATTGTTCTTGCTTTAAACTTGTCCTGAAACATCTCTTTCTATGGGAGAAACATCTGCCCCACTTCGAGCACAGGAGCCGAGTGTTCTAGGAGAGGGAAGGTGCTATCAGCCCCGGGCACTCGGCCCAAGTGTAAAGGAAGTAAGAAGCGGCCTCTCTTCCTGTTCCAGAGGCAGCCACGGTTAACTTTCTTACAGGTCCTGCACACAGCCTTTCTGAGGATACAGGGATGCACCTTTTGTCCGTAGGTGGTGTACTGGAAGTTATTCGGTAACAGGGTCAGGGTGACAGTGCCCACAGGCAGCTGGGGTGCCTTTTCTCTGAAAGCGGCAGCCGTGTCTTCATGGGAACTGAACATAATGCTTGTGAGGTGAGCTGGCCGTCCACCACTCCCCAGAGGAACTGAAGCTCCGATGACAAAATGATCTCCTGGCCCGGGGAATGTGGGGTGGTGGCTGGGAGTCGGGTCACCTCTGCCAGGTCCCTGATGGGAAGCCCCGCCCCCCCCCCCGTCCTCCTCTAAATAAAGGTCTCCAGTGTCTTCCCCTCACCACAGGGCGGGAATTGGGGAACCCGCTGTCCCCAGAATAGCTCGGATTTCTGTCTCCTGTCAGTATCGTGGCCCCTGCCTCCCCAGGGTGTGACATCCAGGAAGGATGCAGAGCTAGACACCCCCCCCACTCTCATTTTGTCCTACAGGGTCCCGGCGGGGGGCTGCAGACTCTAGAATAAACCCTAATTCAGACTCAGTGAATAGATGCAGCGGAGTCAGGCCCATCCCTTTAATCAGCTTTCATCTCCTCTTCTACTGAATGGAGTTTAGAGCAATGAATCGCCTGGTGAAAGCAGATAGGTCCTCTCTTTCCCTGGCTGCTCTATCTTCTGGGCCCAGCTTCCTTATGAACAGAGACCTTGTTTTATGCTGACCTGAGTTTAATAAAAGGTGGGCTGTTCTGGCTGTAGTTTATATCAAATGAACGGCGCCCTCCTCCCCGGGGCCTCTGCTGACGTGGACAGATCTCTTCTCAGCCCTGCCCTCCCCACTCCTCGCGGCAGTGGCTCCTGAGGAAAGGCGCTGTGTACTCAGGGGAAGGCCAGCTCCCCTCCTGGCTCTGGATAATTATGGCTCCGGTTGCCAGGGAACCGTCCCATGGCCAGGTCTCAGCCAACTCAGACCTTGCATTGGGCGACAGAGGGTGGCTGGAGGAGTCACCCGTGTTGCTGCTGCTGCTGACAGACAACTGTGACAAGACAGGTTGACCAGCAGGGAAGGGGGCCCCAGGGTGCAGCCTGGAGCCAGCAGTTAGTGCTGTGAAGCCTTGGGGGACCCTCTCACCTGCACCCCCAAAGCTCTGAAAACCCCATTGTCACTGAAAACCAAAGGCCTCCACTGGTGATCCATCTCCTCCCTGTGCTGAGAGCTGTTCCCACACTGACACTGCCCCTCACATGGGTCGTGGAGCTCGCCAGCCTTGGGGTGCCTTTGTCCCAGCTGGCTCCCTTGTCTCTCTGTCCCCCAGCTCTTCAGGAGGCAGCACACCCTCCTTTCCTTCGGAAGTCCCCACCGTCCAATGGACTGTCCGGGGCCGGCTCTGACCCCAGCCCTACGCTGCCGAGAAATCGGGAAGTGGGCACCTTGTTTCCCGCTTCCCACTTCACTGCCCAGCCCTCCGTCTAGGTTCTTTGTCACCGGGCTCCCCAGGAGGGAGCAGCAGATGCAGCAATACGGAGTGAACTGCTGAGAAACACCGCCAGAGGTAGTGTTACAGTCTAGACCTCAAGTGTCCCAGTCCCGGGTGTGGAAGGTGACTGGGGCACCATGCTCCATCAGTGGACACATCCGTGGACGAACTCAGTAGTCCCTGTCCTGTTAGGAAGCAGGTCCTGGCTGGAGGTGGTCACTGGGGCGCGACCTGGAAGGGTGTACTTTTGTTCCCAGCTCTTCCCTTCTCTCTGCTTCCTGGCTGCTATAACATGAGCCACGTTCCTCCATCGCACCCTTCTACCATGTTATTTCCTCTTGGAGCCAACTGACCGTGGTCTGAATCCTCTCAAACTGTGAGCTGAAATAAAACTCTCTTCCTTTAAGTTGCAGGCGTTGGGTGCTGCGTCCTAGCCAGGACATCCTGGCCTGTGGTGCTCGAGTCTCTGCTCCAGACTGTGGTGCTCCTGCTTTATTTGTCCCCCAGGGTGAAGACGCTGCTCGAAGCTTCAGTTCCCTCTGCCTCTTTTCCCCATGCTGCTCATTTTAAAGGCTTGGTAAAGGTGGGCGCTACATGCTGTCCCCATTCTTTCAGCCAGCGTTTATTGAATACAAGCAGGTGCCAGGTGCTGGGGGTATGGTGGTGGTCATGGCCTTTCTCTTTGGGTGCTCATAATCGAGGGAATAGCAAGCGAGTCCGAAAGTCAACCTGGTACTCTCGTGACATGGCGACAAATGGGGGCTGTGATAAAGGTGGTTGAAGGGACTTTTGAGCAGTGTCATTTAGGTTGGAACCTGAAGGGTGAAGAAGGATCAGAACTGCAGAGCAGAGAGAAGCAGAGAGGATGGCAGGTGCCTTGTGTTGGGAAGAGCTGCAGCTTCCTGTATCTCCTGGATTTTCAGTATTTTGACAGAGTCGTCCTTACCCGGTCTGGTTTCTTGGTTCGATTCCTCTGACTTTCTGTTATTTTCTGGTCCTCGCTGTAGCTCCCACCTCAGCAGGGAGCCAGGTTAAGGTCTGCAGTAGAAGTGGGGACTGAAGGGCCGGAGGAGCTGCAGATCTGAGGACCCCTCAGAGTCAGCTCTCTTTCTGACTCTTCTTGAAACGGGCTTTCTAGCACACACCCAAATCTGGCTTCTTTCTCCAAATAAGCCTTATGGTTTACTCTAAAGAACTCCGTAGACATCACTTACTTCCATGTGGTTCCCGGGCACTGGGAAGTACAGGCTGATGGGGATGGAACCGAGATCCCGTCTGTTTCTTGGGTCAATCCCGGAGGCCTCAAGAGAGGTGTGGCTAATGGGGGCCTGGCTGACAGTGTCCAGCTGGCAAGCTGTTCCCGATGTCCGGAGCGCGGAGTCTATCGGCTGTAGGTCCTTGCATAACCCTGGGACTTAAAGACAATGCCCCGAGCTGTTTTGAGGAAGCTAAGTCTACAGCAACTGCTGAGAAATTTCACAGGAAGTGTCTGGGGAGATCCCTGAGTCCCGCTCCTGCCATCTGTCCACGGAGCTTGACCATTTCAAGTGGAGGGAGGCTGGGAGCTTCCAAAGGAAAGCGAAACAGGAAGCCGGTCATCTGCACGGAGCCCTGGGCTGTCCCCAGCCCAGCTGGCTTGCTGTGGCTCCTGACGCAGCCCTGCTGGAAGGGTTCTCTCCCACCACAGCCTGGCCGTCTCACCGAAGCCTCTGCCTACATCTGTGCATCTCTGGGGCCCAGAATGTAGTTTCCAGCCGCTGCAAGCCCATTACTTCCTGGCCACCCACAAGCGCGGCTCCAGGGCTCCCAGGCTGATTCCTTCTCCCCTTCCTGACTCCCCGCCGCTCCCTCTGCTCTTGGCTGGGTGGCTGTGACTCTGCCTGACTCATCCATCTCGCTGTAGATCAGGAGCACACAGAGCCCTGGAGCACTTGTTTCCCTGGTGTCACTCTGGTCTCCCCTTTCCTCCTGTCACTGCTTCCTCCCCTAACTTCTTCCCTTGCTCCCTTCAGCCTCCTGAAGTGCACGGGTGTCAGGGATCACAGCACCTGCCGTGGCTCCCAGATGCTGTACCATGCAGACACTGCCTTTGCAGTTTGTAAGCCTCAGTTCCTCTTCCGACGCTGTGTTCGAGCTAAACCTACAGTGCCGGGAGAGGGACAGGACTCACTCTTCCCTTACTGAACTGCCTTACTAGTTCAGAGATCTTGTACAACGTGGTAAAATCTTACGGTACCAAATGTCATGTTGTGTGCATTTATAGGCTTTTACAGCTTCTTAGAAGATGGGACAATCCTGTATTTGTCTTACATTTGTTTTTCTTTCCTCTAATAATTTGGACTCCTTTACATACATACACATGCATGTATAGGATAAAGTAGCTCTCACAACAGTGCCAACTGTTGTTTTACCAATGACAAAACCCTGTTGCAGAACAGGTGAACATCCGGCTGAGGTCCCACAGGAAACAAAGGGCAGAGCCAGGATACAAATCCACAGTCTGGCCCTAGAGCCCTGGCTCCGAACCGCAGGGCCTCCCTTCATCCCTGTTCGCATTTGGCTGTGTCGTGCATTTCTAATGCTATAGCTTGGCTTTAGCTGCTGTCTCACAGCTGACCTGAGGCGTAAGGCATGTGCCTGTTAACAGTCCCAAATACCAATGGTTGGTTTGGAGAGTGCAAATGTAACTTGATAGCAAGAGCTGATTTAAGTTGTTTCCCAGGAAGTTCCCGTGTAGCACAGCGAAAGCTTGGCGGCCTTTTAATCCCACTTGTTCTTTTTTCTTCTTATTCTAGTACATGGGCTGCATTGAAGTGCTGCAATCAATGAGGTCCCTGGATTTTGGAATGCGGACCCAAGTTACAAGGTAAGAGGACAAAAACTGGAGAGACTTTAAGGACTGTAGCTTCAAGTCCTGGTAGTTTGTCCTGCAGGGATTTCACACAAGTCCGGAAAGTCATGATGGGGCTTTAGTCATTCTGCTGGAAGGCAGCGTCTGCCTCAGGGACCTTGCATGTGTGACTTTATCTCATCATGGGAAAATCTCCCAAGTGTGTGGCAGAGCACTGTGTTCTGTATAATAAGATGATTCAGTCCACAGAGGTAGCTGGTTTCCCAGGTACATGAGTATAAAATGATGCCTAGATACAGGCGTTATAGAACCTCAGACCCATCAAAGAGGTAGTTGGAAACCACAGCAGGCAAGATATTTGAACATTGAAAGCCCAGGCCATCTCTGTTCATGCCGCCCCTGCCCTGAGAACTGGCCTGGGTTTCCCTCCTACCTGTATATGGAGCTGGAGGAAAAGTTGAAAGAAGGGGAGCTTTACCTGCCAGGGCGCCCTGGGTAGCTTGGAGAAAGAAGTCAGAATCCTTGTGAGTCAGAGCTCGGGCAGAAGGCAGCAGGGCTCGGGTGGTGCATCAGAGCTAGGATGGAGGAGTGTGGAGCAGAGGCTGGGAACGCGGGCGGGGAGGGGCTGGACTGGCAAATATTCAGAGAGAAGGCAGCGTCGGGGTGTGCGGTGCGGGTGTCTCAGGCGCGCCTCAGGGTCCCTCCGTGCTCACAGGGTAGGGGAGGGTACTGCACCCTCACACTCAGACCGTGGGCTCCCAGGCCCCGGGAAAGCACTTGTGTCGCAGAAGAGCCTCACCCGTCACGCTGGAGGAGGCGCGTAGCGTGCAGTAGGGCAGGGAGGACGCTAGAGGTCCCGCACTGAAGTTTAAGAAGTTCAGCTTGATCTCAGAAATTTCTGAACCGATTTGGACCAGGACTTTTTTCCCCCATATAACCGAAATGGACAACCCACACACCCCTGAGTTCCCTGTTACACACTTGAAGACGTACTGATTTGGACTCTGCCTGGTGGTGTCTTCAGGTCTCTTTCCAACTCCCCCCTCCAGTCCTCCCGAGTCAGACATGTGAACTCTAATCCCATTGTTTGGATTCGCTTGGTTCCTGCCTTAGTCCCTGGAATAGGAAAGAGGCTTGGTGCATATTTACTAATAAGTGCACAGTGCTGTACGTCCAGTATTTGGAGACGCTACAACATGTCTTATCCTCTTTAGATTCCCTTCCCCATTCTTGGGCCTTTCAGTTATCCTCATGGTTTCTAGTCTACGCACCCTGTCAGCCCTATTTTGAAGACCTTCTAGACTTTATTTCATTTTGATCATCCTTACTCTAAGAAAACCCTTCCTATAATCCAGAGCACCATATAGCCAGGAGGAAGACCTGATATCCCAGGTGTTTGGGACAGGGGCACAGGACAAAGCAGTGCCCTCTGTCCTAACCTGAATGCTATGGCCTGAATGTGTACCCCCATTCATATACGGACACTTAACCTTCCATGTGGTAGTATTTAGAGTTGAGCCATCATGAATGAGATGAGTGCCTGTATTAGCCACTTTCCCAATGCTGGGACAAAATACCCAATACCTGCACCTTAAAGGAGTGGTTTCCTGGTCTCGGAGGACTCAGTCCAAGGCTATCTGGCTCCAAGGCAGAAACAGCATGTGGAAGGGCCTGGGTGGAGGACAGCTGCTCCAACCACGGCAGGTGGGAAGCAGAGAGAAGAAGGAGCCCTGTGAACCAATTCGTCAATCAGCCCCACCTCCTATCCACACCTTCAGCTAAGAACTCACCCATGGTCCGTCCAGAACAGCACTCCTATTTTCCAGTCACCTTCCACAAGCCTCACCTCCGAACACATGAGACTGTCGTGGGCCATTATGGATCTAAACCGTGACAGGGTCCTTACAGAAGAACCGTGAGGAGGCTGTGGCCCTCTTCTTCACGTGAGGCTATGCAGAAGCTCTGTCTATGAACCACAAGACTTTGCCACACACAGAATCTGCTGGTGTCTTGATCTGGTTACTTCCCAGCTTCCAGAACTATATAAAAAATTTCTATTATTTATAAATTACCCAGTCCGACATGTTTTATTATAGCCCCAGGGACAGAGGGAGACACTGAGGTGACTTATTTATTTGTTTATTCACCCATTAATTCGTTGACTCATCCTTTTTCACTCAAGTATTTGTAGTGTGCCCGTTAAGTACCTGGAAATGTTCAAGAACGAGGGATCCAGCACGAATAGAGCAAAGTGTCTGTTCTGCTGGCACTTGCGTCCTCCTGGGTGTGCAGCCTGTGGTGTGAAAATGTGTGCACCACACACTCGCGGGCAGAAGGCTCTGCTATCACCATGGCAACGGTACAGAGTGGGGGCCAGACGTGTAGGCAGAGAGCGTTTAGATTTTGTTTTATTTCCTATCATAAAAATGCTACGTGTTTATTCAGAACATTTGGAAACACAGGAAAGTATGAAGGAGCATATCACTCATGGTCCCACTGAGAGAGAGAGAGAGAGAGAATGTCTGCTAACGTTAGTCTGTGTTTTGGAAAATCTTCGCAGTATTTTCTTCTGTACATGAGCTTACAGTGGTTTTTACAGAAAAGAGAAATAATATTGTCTGCAATTTCTCCCATCCTGAGAATTTTCTTATTGCTCCCATTTTTCGTTTCCGTTAAGTTTATCGGTACAGTTGAAGCAAACAATACAGTCACATTTGTCATTGGGATCTTGTACCTTTACATTATATGTCTTAGTTCTTATTTTTTCCCCATACCCCTGCCCTCCCTTCTCCCCCTTCACCCTTCCCTATTTACAAAGACTTTGTCCCATTTTTTATTGTGGTTAAGTACAAAGAACAAAATTTACCATTTTAGCCATTTTTAAGCCTGCAGTTCCGTGGCATGAAGTGTGTTTGTATTGTCACACAAGCTCCACCACTGTTCAGCTTCAGAGTTTTTCATTTTCCCAAGCTGAAATCCCATGCCCATTGAACACTGCTACTCCATACTCTGTTTCCCTGTCCACCACAGCCTCTGACAATCACCATTTCTGCTCTTTATCTCTATGGTTTCAACTACTCCAAGTTCTTTACATAAATGGAACCAGACATATATATTTGCCCTTTCCTGTTTGGCCTATTTCACTGTACTGGTGATTACAGTACCTAAGGTTGCTTCAGGCTGTAGCACGTGTTGGAATACCATTCTTTTTTAAGGCTGGATGCTGTTCTTTTGCACAGTTAGGCTACATTTAGTTTGTCCACCAGCATTGCAAGGCATTTGGGTTGTTTCTCTGTAAGAGTCTTCAGAGGCTACATGCATCTTTCCATTTTTTCATTATTATAAGTAGTACTGATGAGCACCTCATTTATAACTTCTGATTATTTCCATAGGACAAATCCCAGAATTAGGCTCCTTAGGTTGAACAATTTAAGTATTGTAAAGGCTTTGAAGTGTTTGCTGGGCTGTTTTGCTGAAGAATGGTGTGGGTGTTTAGCCTTTCTTCCTAGCTATATGTCTAGTTTTTTAAATCTCATAAGCTTGAGCATCTGTACTTTGCTATTCTTAAGAAAATAATAAGGGTTTCAATTGGCTTTTCTCTGCCATGAAGATTCACCTTCTGCCCAATTACACAGCCCAGGGAGGGTGCCCGGTGTGGTCCCTGGGTAGTGTCCCTCGTGGATGAGTCTGCTTCCAACATGGCGGCTGATGTTCCAGGCGGATTTGTGGAATCTTGAGGGTGGCGGCCATTTTTAGATTTGCTGGCCAGGAAGCCCTGTCTGAGGAGAGGAAATGTGAGCTAAGAGCTGGATAAAGTGAGGATCCAGCCACAGGAGGGTCCTCTGGGAGGGGAGGAGATGGTGCAGACAACGGTCCATGGTGTCACTATCCTGCTGGGAGTTTGGTAAGAGTCCGGTACTGCATTCATCTCCCAAGAGCAGATGCCAAACATGGTCAGGTAGCCCCTGCCTGTAGGAGGAAGAGGCTGACTGAGGGAACTGAGTGTGAAAACGCCCAAGGTGCCCCTGCTCCTCCTTGAGGTCAGGAGCCTGCAGCCCCCTCACTGAGAACCTGAGACTGTTTTCATATGTAGGGCCGACACCAGTTAAGGTCTGGGTACCACGCTGTCACTTTGCCACTCTATCCAGGTCTCGATGACATGGTTTTGAGTCTGCTTCTCAAAAGAGAAGGAGGAGGGCTGGGGACATAGCTCAGTGGCACCGCACTTTGTCAAGGTGCACGAGGTCCTGAGTTTGGTCCCCAGTATCTCACCCCCCCAAAAAAAGAGGGAGGAGAATAAAAATCATGCTGACGATCATAGAGCTGTTTGCTTTTTCCAACAAAAATGTCCTCAGGATTTTAAAAACAAAAATTAAAAAACATGAGAACTAGACACACACACACACACACACACACACACACACACACGGGCACGCAGATGCATAAGGAACCAGTTTATTAAAACATAAAGCCCTGCCAGGCATGGTGGTTCATGCCTTTAATTTTGGCACTTGGGAGGCTGAGGCAGGAGCATCATTGTGAGTTCAAGGCCAGCCTGAACTACATAGCAAGACTTATGTTGAAACCAAAAATCCAATCAACCCACCAAAGAGGAAGCCTAGCTTCTCTGCTGAGAAAGTGACCAACAGCATGCAAACAAGGAAAACCCCTCCTTCACCCTTGAAGGAGGCCTCTGCCCTGGGTCTGGGTGGGAAGCTGCCCTTGACACTCGCGAGGGATGGACACACGGGCTGGGCCCAGTGACGGGAGCTGGTGGCCATGGCCTCGCTCTCCTCGCCCCGAGAGCAGAATCAGCCCAACTGGGAGGAGGTCCAGGGCCCAGGGCCGGTGGCCGTGGGGTGGTTTCATTTGCAGGATCGCCATGCCTCGGGATCTGGGAAGAACAACGAGGAGTCTCTCTTTTGGTCCTGGCTTTATGCCTCGGGGTCTGGGAAGAACAACGAGGAGGCTCCCTCTTGGGGTCCTGGCTTACGATTCCTTCTCTAGTTGAGTGA